TATAAAACTGTAATTTTTTGTGAAGAATCAACAACAAGTGGGACACAATCATGAAGTGGAACGAAATTTATTGGATATTTCAAACGTTTTTAACAAATAAAAAACTGAAAAATCGGGCATGCAAATTTATTCAGCCCCCTTAAGTTAATACTTTGTAGCGCCACCTTTTGCTGCGATTACAGCTGTAAGTCGCTTGGGGTATGTCTCTATCAGTTTTGCACATCAAGAGACTGAAATTTTTGCCCATTCCGCCTTGCAAAACAGCTCGAGCTCAGTGAGGTTGGATAGAGAGCGTTTGTGAACAGCAGTTTTCAGTTCTTCCCACAGATTCTCGATTGGATTCAGGTCTGGACTTTGACTTGGCCATTCTAACACCTGGATATGTTTATTTGTGAACCATTCCAATGTAGATTTTGCTTTATGTTTTGGATCATTGTCTTGTTGGAAGACAAATCTCCGTCCCAGTCTCAGGTCTTTTGCAGACTCCATCAGGTTTCCTTCCAAAATGGTCCTGTATTTGGCTCCATCCATCTTCCCATCAATTTTAACCATCTTCCCTGTCCCTGCTGAAGAAAAGCAGGCCCAAACCATGATGCTGCCACCACCATGTTTGACAGTGGGGATGGTGTGTTCAGGGTGATGAGCTGTGTTGCTTTTACGCCAAACATAACATTTTGCATTGTTGCCAAAAAGTTCGATTTTGGTTTCATCTGACCAGAGCACCTTCTTCCACATGTTTGGTGTGTCTCCCAGGTGGCTTGTGGCAAACTTTAAACGACACTTTTTATGGATATCTTTAAGAAATGGCTTTCTTCTTGCCACTCTTCCATAAAGGCCAGATTTGTGCAGTATACGACTGATTGTTGTCCTATGGACAGAGTCTCCCACCTCAGCTGTAGATCTCTGCAGTTCATCCAGAGTGATCATGGGCCTCTTGGCTGCATCTCTGATCAGTCTTCTCCTTGTATGAGCTGAAAGTTTAGAGGGACGGCCAGGTCTTGGTAGATTTGCAGTGGTCTGATACTCCTTCCATTTCAATATTATCGCTTGCACAGTGCTCCTTGGGATGTTTAAAGCTTGGGAAATCTTTTTGTATCCAAATCCGGCTTTAAACTTCTCCACAACAGTATCTCGGACCTGCCTGGTGTGTTCCTTGTTCTTCATGATGCTCTCTGCGCTTTAAACGGACCATTTGTTAAAAACGTTTGAAATATCCAATAAATTTCGTTCCACTTCATGATTGTGTCCCACTTGTTGTTGATTCTTCGCAAAAAATTACAGTTTTATATCTTTATGTTTGAAGCCTGAAATGTGGCAAAAGGTCGCAAAGTTCAAGGGGGCCGAATACTTTCGCAAGGCACTGTATGCACCAGGTTAATAAGTTAGGTTAAATTAAATTTTATTCCAATATGAGGGAATAACAATGTAGCTGCTGGTTGTAGGGACACATTACTAGATAAGGGCCCCACACCCCTCCCACACAGGACTGGGACCCCCAGACTGACAGAGACACAAACTACAATCACAGGTGCATCATGGACTCTGCAGGAACAGGACTCTACTGCTCTGTGGCCAAGAACGCAGCCGCATACAGAAGAAACACTGAGCAACTTTTATAGGAACAACTGAGGCCCATCTTTAAACAGGGCATATGGTTTTCCTTAAAACATCAGTGGCTTAGGTTTTTTTGGTGTTGGGGGCTGCACAGGTCCAAAACCTCTGGAACTAATCTGACACCTGTGGAAACTGGACTCAAACCAAATGATCAAAAGAGATCTGATCCAAACACGGACGTGGAAGGACAGGATTTAATCGGTGTTACTGATCAGACACAGGATCATGAGACTGTTTATTTTATCTGCAAAATTAGAAACAACATCGTGACGCGTTCCTCCCAAAGCTCCACTCTGCCATCAGCCACTGATCCCCAAACTGAAACAGAATAGTTGAACATATATGAGCAGTATTCAGCATATAACCCAACCCTCTGACCTTTCAACAACAAAAAAGTTTCACGGCACAGCCCAGGAACACAAATGTACCTCACGGGACTTTGAACTTCCAGTCCTCTGGACCTGCCTTTAATGTCACAGCTACTCAGCGTACTGTGTGGTGGTATTTTGTACTTTTCTTCTGTTTAAAGTATCTGAGTAGGATGAAATGTATTATTACTGACCTTAAACTCTCAGCAACAGCATGAGCTGTCTGAGTTTAGTCATGTCTTCATCTTCATCAGACCCAGAGCCAGGACCAGATCTCTGGTCCAGCAGGTTTCCTTCATATAATTAACATTTTTCAATCAGTATCTTTGTGATTTGTGCAGTTTTAGGCACAGAACCATTTCTGTTGATCTCACTTTGGATGGTTTCTGCCATGTCTGCCACCGGCAGTGGACGTCAAACTGATCCATACACGTGGGACAGTCAGACCCAGTGGGATTAAAGCTCAGGACCCCCAGAACTGACCTCAAACAGACCTGAGGATAACTAGACCAAACCCAGAATGTGGTGGACAACAAACCAATGCACATTACCCACAAAACCCATGACGAATAACCTGGCGCTCCAACGCTTGGGTCTGCTTCAGTACTAACATGGACCTGAGACCTGCTGCAAAACTGGACCCCACCAGACCTGATTAGACTGGCTCGGGTCCTCAGTCAGGTGGATCTGTGAAGACTTCTATTGTATGTATGATGAGGAAGAAGAAAGTAGACTCCAGACTCCTGTAGAAGCCAGAAACTCTTCTGGACTGAACTTGGGTCTTTAACCAGAACAGTAAGAACTCTACCATCTACTGGTGATAAATACACACCTGCACAGGTTTATAACTGGTTCAGCATTGACAAAGCCCAGCAGGGACAAGATGCTGTAAAGAGTGAGCAAGAGGAATAAGAGGATCAGCAGCAGCTGACTGACATCAGCACCTACCAGGCTGACAGTAACACTGAGTGGTGGGTTAGTGATTAAATACAGAACTGTTAAAGGGAAACTGTCGTGTCAGGATGGACATTTTACACAAAGAGGACATTTGACCACCGGCCCAACGACACTGACACTGTCTTCATGGAGACAGTCTCGGGTCTGTAGTGGTTTATGGTCTTTCCACCACAAGAACTATCTGACCTGGAGCTTCTCATCACCTGAACCTGTAAGAACCAGGTCCAGGTTCTGCCTTGTTCACCAGTGTTTTACAAACCAGAACGTTGCAGATATTCGTCACAGGAAAGGCGACACTGGGACAAAGACGGTCAGCTTTATGTTCTAAAGCTGGTGAATCTTATTTTACATGTAGAGGCATTCCGAGCCCAAGATCAGTGTCAGACCTTATCAGGGTGTATTTTCCTGTAATGCTATCGGCTAACAAAAAGCATCTGTCCCTACCTTTACTGGACTCAGGTTTGTCCTCCTCAGCCTGCTAATGGTGCAGCTCTGCTCTCTGACAGCTGAGCTCTTCAGTGCAGCATATGAGAGAAAATGAAGTGTGAAAATTAACTTGTTTGCACTTCAAGTGATGTAACCAGTCCATTATCCTTCTCTGTCATTATCAAAGCTCAGTGCAAAAAAACCTTCAGCTAGCATCTTTTTATGTTTAGCCAGCACAGCACCGGCCTTCACTTTCAGCAATGGACAAAGGTCATATCAGGCAGATTGTTTACGAGGTAGAAGATGCTTCCTCCCTGGACATCACTTCGGTTCCTATTAAACTTTCATTTATTTCATCATTTATCTCAATCATCTACATAAGATTAACAGTTCTAAATGCAATCCGTGAGTATTTGGTTCAGGCATCTTGTGCTGAGTTTTCAAGCCGGGACATACAGTGGGTACAGAAAGTATTCAGACCCCCTTAAATTTTCACTCTTTGTTATATTGCAGCCATATGC